GACAGGAAGGGAAGAAAGACAGATGGAGGGAAGTTAGGGAATAAATGGAAAGAAGGAAGATGGAAAATACATGGACGGGAAGATGGAAGAATGGATAGTTGGGTGAATGAGTTGGGGGGAGTGGACTGATGGATGGAAGGGAGAAGGGCCAGGTGGATGAAAATGATAGGCTGGAAATACAGGTGGATGGACGGAGAGAGGGAGAGATCAGAGGATGGGTAAAGGAACAAAGAATGGAAGGAAGAAAAAAAGAAGGGGGTGGGAGAGAAGTAAAGGAAAGAACAGATGGGCTGGGTTCTGTGGCGGGGGAGGAGAGAGAAAGAGAGAGAAGAGAGAGAATGCAAGCTAAGATCGAAGCAGGGGAGGGAGGAAGCAGGCAAAGAGGGAAGGCCGGAAGAAGTAAGGACAGTACTTTGTCTAGTTCGGGTCTGTCATGTGTTTTTCATACTGGGGCCACGTTAACTGGCATCTCCTCCCCTGCAGCCTGAGCCTGCACGTCAAACCCAAGAGGGCCGTGCTCCTGAGCTCTCTGCTCAGCTGGGATGGAGGCCGCAGGGCTGGGTCCAGCACCTGCTTTGGCCGTGACTCATGCACCCCTCTAGGAAGTGGCAGCTTGGGAGGCTCCCCACGAAAGGGCTTTCAGGGTGAGCGCAGTTCAGTGCATCCTGAGGACGGTCGCCACGGCTCTTGAGCCCTGAACACACGGGCGTCAATCAAGCCCACACCCTGCACGGCGACCCAGCCAACATTTTGGACGGGGGTCCCTTCCCTGGATTTTACCGCACCGCGAGCAGCTCCTGCTCCAAGGCGAGGTGGCCGCGAGAGAGGCGGGAGGTACTTGTGGGTATTTGCGCCCAGGCTCCAGCTATCTCTGTATTGCGCGTACCGTTTCTGAATCATTGTAAAATCCAGAGTTGGGCGAGCTAGCTGTATTCTGGCTCACAGTAGCGTAAATGACTATTTAAATTGCCCTCAGCATTCATGGGTCTCCCATCCCAGTGGCACACGCAGGGCAGAGGCCCATTTACGGCTCATGTACAGCGTGCTGGGCCCCGTGTGGACGGCTTCCATCTATCTCCCATCATCTTTACAGCCTGGAAGGCAGGGGCTTCCCTTCCACCCATTTAGCAGATGAGGTGACCGAGGCCAAAGGAGAGGGAGAAACCTGCCCGGGGCACACAGCCAAGGACTGGTGGGGCCAGGCTCAGAGGCAGACGGGGCTGATTAGCAGGTGTCAGCTCTCAGGACTCGACGCTGCATTCTGCTGGGCCTGAGCTGCAGCTGAACTTGACACCTACTGTGTGTCTGCCAGTCCCCCTCTCACGCCCGATTTCCTTTTTCCCTGAAAAGGCGTTTCACACATCGGGGTCCTGGCACTCCGATCACAGATGCAGATCCCTGCTTTCCCCCGGCAGCCAGAGGGAGCCTCTGAACCCCAAGTCGGATGGTGGAGCTCTCCTGCTCGAAACCCTCCAGGGGCTTCCAGTCACCCTGAGAATATCGCCCAATGCCTCAGGATGGCCCTCGACTCTCCGTGGATCTGCACCACCTTGGCCCCCCCCCCCCCCCCCGCCCACCGTATTCTTCCCTGCTGACGCTCCAGCCTCCCTGTTTCAGGAACCTGCCAACTTTGGCCAGGCCTCAAGGCCTCTGCCCTGCTGTTCTCTCTGCCCAGCACACTCCCTGCCGGGACACCCACACGGCTCCCTCACCTCGTTCAGGTGTCTGCTCAAGCGGGAGAGAAGCCTGGCCTGCTTGCATCAAGTGAAGTCACAGCCCCGGGACCATCTCCTTTCCTCCCTGACTCTGCTGGTCTCCGGCGGGGGCCCTTCGTCTGACGGTACATATTCAGTTGTTTATATTGCGCGTCCCGCACTGGAAGGTCCGTGCTTCGAGGGCGGGGATCTTGTTGTGTTTGCCGCTGGATCCACGGCACTTAGAGGAGGGCCCGGCAAACGGCAGCTTTCCCTTAAACCGCAGCCGCACGCGAGAGCCAACCCCGATTTACAGACGGCATTGCAAGCTCAGAGTGGAAAGGGATCTTCTGCACTCTGTCTTCTAAACCCCACCGTCCAGGCGGGCACTGGCACCAAGCACCTCTCCCGAGTCCCATCAGCCTCCTCGGGGAGCCCCGGGAGGCTGCCCCCCCCACCGGATTCTGACACAGGGCTCCCCGCACCAGCAAGCGAACTGTTTGCGCTCGTGTGAGTCTCAACTTCTCCATCGGGTGGCATGGTTGCAATTCTGCCGAGATGCCCTGGGGGCCTCTGGCACTGGGGACAGGTTTGAAAAAAATTCAGAGAAGAAAACCAAACTGGCTTCCCTAGGAGCTCCAGTTGGCCATGAAATCCGTTCGCCAAGAGGTGTGACTTCCACTCCGGGGCCAAGGAGGAACGGCAGAGGGGGAAGGCTGAAGACATTGCCTCGAAACACACACACGTCAGTCCAGCATAATGCCCGGCTCTGAGCCTCCGGTTCAACCGATGCTGACAAAGCCCCTACTGTGTGTCTGGTGTTAATTCAAACTCCTGTGTCTGCCGGTCGGTCTGGTATCTTCCCTGGGGTGTCACAGACGCCTCAAAGCCCGCGTGCCCACCACACTGTCTGTCCATCTCAGAGAATGGCACTGTTGCCCTGGTCAGGCCGAGCCCAGGACCCTCACCCCTGACTCCTCTCTCTCCACCCCCCCACATCCAACCCATCAGGAGCTCTCTTGGCTTTACCGCCATCCCGAGGCCCATCTCCTACTGCCTCGGTCCCGCCCATCTTTCTTCTCTTGCTCGGACAACGGCAGTAATCTCTTGGCTGGTCTCCCAGCCTCCACTGTTTCCCTCCTCTTGCCCATTCTCCACACAGCAGCCAGAGTAGTTCTTTTAAAACATAAGCTAGATCAGGCAGCCTTTCCTGTTTACTGCTCTCGGGCTCCATGGCTGTCCACAGCACCTAGAATAAACTCTGATGTCCAGGACCTGTGTCTGGCCCAGAACTCCACCTCCAGACTCATCCATCCCAGTTGCCCCCACGCTTTCACTTCTACGCTGTGGTCACTGTGGCCTTCATACCACTTCCCACCCCAGGGCCTTTGCATGTGCTGGTCCCACCTCCCTACATCTCCGCCTGGCTGGCTTCTGCCGCCACTCAGGCCTTGGCTCAAGCGTCGCCTCCCGAGAAGCCTTCCCTGGCTCCCTCGAGAATGCTGCCCCCCAACCCTACCCGCCTGTCGCCCATCACCCACTATCATATCTCATTCTTTTCTTTACACCCTTTTCATTAAATGAACTTTCTCACGGATGGATTTGTTTGGTTGTTTACTGCTGAAGCTCTGGGGACTGAAGGTGATACAGCGGTGGTTCCTGCCCTCATGGAACCAACATTCTAAGGAGGCGATTGTGAGAGACCAAATCTACCCTTGACTTTCTAAGTACAAGAGCCAATAAATTCCTTTTCTCTTTTGCTAAAACCAATCAGGTTTCGCTATTTGCAGGCAGCCCGCTCTTGATTATATTAGGCTCCATGAACCCTTGCTGAATTCAATTACCACGTCTGTTTTGTTGTTTTGCTCATTTATTCTCTCCTTCTCCCCCTCCCTGCTCCCTCTTTTCCCCAAGACACGAGAGGTCATTGTAAAGGGAGGCCTGCACATTGCATCTGGCTAAAGGGACAGTCCTGGGTCTGATGGCTCACAGACTCCCCACTGTGCCAGTGTTCTCTTTTGTCATCAATGCGTCGATGAGTTTCTACACAGACCCTCTCTTTAAAATAGATGTTGGACAGAGAACATCAATTCCATTTCACAGATGGGAAGGCTGAGGCCCAAATGGCTTGCCTAGGCTGCACGGAACACAAGATTGTTCAGTTTGGCAAGGATTTCCTCCTCTGGGAATCCAGGGCTGCAGACCAGAAAGGAAAACCTGTATCCTTTCCTGATGGTAAACAGGATTCATGCTCTGGGCCCACCAGGACAGTTCTGGAATTCATAGCCTTCATAGGCCTGCTTTACAGGCTAGTCCCAGGGCGTTTTGATTCCAGGAAAAAAATAGCCCTGCTAAGATAAATAGGAGTGTTCTTTCACACGCAGTATAATTTTGGGTTCCCTTCCTTTTTCAATCTGTTAAACCAATCATGCAAATACAATTTACCGAGCCAGAAGGTCCCCACATTAATCCTCTTATCAACCCAAAGAACCCTTCTTCACCTTGGTGAAGGCTGCTTGCTTTTTCATCAGAGCTAAGGAATGCATTGCCTTTCCCTCCTTGCTTTGGCTACCAGGAAGCTCAGAGATTAACCTCTGAACTTAATTGCAGGTGGTGGCCTCAGCCAGATATTTTTGCACAAGTGCCTTACCCTTAGCTTTCTATTGCTCTGCCTTTGCTTTAATAGTTCAATTTTAAATATGTTTTTTTATTTGAAGTTCTTCTCAAATCTTTCCGCCACAGGCCGGGTATAAACAAAGGATTCAAACTTATTTCTGACGCTGTCCTCCCCCTTTTCCCTATGTCCTTTGCTACTGGCTTTGGGGCCCAGGAGCTGACACTGAATAAGCACGGTCCCTCTGTCTGCGCTCACTCTCTTTGTAAAACACGTTTTCAGGGGGATGTAAATTGTTTTAAAAGCTTCCATGCCGGCCCGCTGCTCATTATTACTGACCCAGGAGGATCTGTACTAATTTGCCTTAACAGACTTATTAAATAGCAAATTTCGGGAGGAAGAAACTACACAGCCTTTATTAGATCAGCGAAACGGCCGTGGACGTCACCACCAGGGCAGAGAGACGCCCATTAGCCACAGGGGGGAGCTGGGGAGATCAGCTGGTCAAGCGTGTTTTCAATAAATTGGCGCTGGCCACCGTTTTGTGGCTTCTTGGGGCTCGTCAGCAAAAGCTTCTAGCCTCCAAAGGAAAAAGGAAACACAGACAAGAGAAGAAGCAGTATCTCTTCCCCTGAAACCAGACACAGGCCACCAACTACGGCGACTACGACACAAAACGGGCAGTTCCAAACCTCCAGGTCGTTGAAGAACAGGTGGGTATCTGCAAGGTTGAAGATCATTTCTTCCATCATCAGGCCGATGCGCACAGACGTCGTGGTGTCCTGGTAGAAAGAAAGGACAGAGTCACACGCCAGCGGGGCCTCCCCCGTCCCATCCCGCCACTGTCAGGCAGCCCAGGTCGGTTCTGAGGGGCTCACACGCGGCCTAGGCTGTGTCAATGTGTTTTCAAAGGTTCCCTCCCGGCCCTCCTGCTTTCCGGGAGGCCTGGACGACTGCAGGGGAAGCAACGTAAACTATGCAAGCCCACTGGGAGAGCTGGCCTGTCGATTCTCTCTTTATGACAACCTCTCTACGGATGCTGTCTTACTCTTCCCGATACATGAAGTCCCTCTGTTATCTAGCAAATGGATTAATTACAAAAATGAGCACACAGGGTGCCCTGGGTGTCTCAGTCAGTTAAGAGTCTGACTCTTGATTTCTCTAGGTCATGATCTCAGGGGTTGTGCGATGGAGCCCCGCGTCGGGCTCCGCGAGCCTGTTCAGGATTCTCTCTTGCTCTCTCTCTCTCCCCCTCCCCTGCTCTCTCTCTCTCTCTCTCTGTCTCAAGAATAAAGAAATAAACTTAAAAAAAAAAGAAAGATGAGCACACAAACTAAACCCCATTATGGTCCATCCATACCCTGGAAACCTAGCCCACTTGATTGAAAAAGTGAAGTCATGCTAGAATTACTTGAATCTACCTCCAAGGTATTAAGTAACAAAAGCAGATCGCACCACGTTATGTGTGAAACCCAACTGTGCAATGAAGGGTCCCTTCTTTCTCCCTCCCTCTCTTTTCTATGCACGTGCTATGGTAGACTGCATTACTGATCACCCATATTTGGGGTCCCTTCCTGGGGAGCTTTGCCCTGTAGGAGGGGGATCCTCACTGGGGGTTGGTACCCTACCCCCACGGGCCCAATCTGGCCTGCTGCCTGTTTGTGTATGGCTTATGAGCTAAGAATAACTTTTTACATTAAAAAAATATATATGTTTACTTATTCGAGAGAGAGAGAGAGCGCGCATGTGCGTGGACGAGTGGGGGAGGGGCAGAGAGTGGGAGACAGAGGGTCCGAATCAGCCTCCGTGCTGACAGTGGTGAGCCTGATGAGGGGCTTGAACTCACGAACTGCGAGATCATGACCTGAGCTGAAGTCGGATGCTCAACCGGCTGAGCCACCCGGGCACCCTGACTTTTTTTTTTTTTTTACATTTTTATTTTTATTTAAAAAAATTTTTTTTTCAACTTTTTTTTTTTTATTTTTTTTTTATTTTTGGGACAGAGAGAGACAGAGCATGAACGGGGGAGGGGCAGAGAGAGAGGGAGACACAGAATCGGAAACAGGCTCCAGTCTCTGAGCCATCAGCCCAGAGCCCGACGCGGGGCTCGAACTCACGGACCGCGAGATCGTGACCTGGCTGAAGTCGGACGCTTAACCGACTGCGCCACCCAGGCGCCCCTTTTTTTTACATTTTTAAACAGTGTATTATTGTCTGTGGTTGCTTTTGCGTTTTGAAGGCAGAGGTGAGCAGGAGCCACACAGCCCCAGTGTCCTGTAGAGACTGAAATATTTACTATCTGACCCTTTGCAGGAAAAGTCTGCCAGCCCCTGATATATACCCTCCCTGTTGAACTTAGATGTGGCCATGTGACTTGTGTCGGCAGAAGTCATGCTTCAGCTGTGGTCAGAAGCTTTCAGAGTGAGTGAATGGTTGGTCAGGCTCTCTCTTCCCAGTTCACAAGACTAAATGTTCCAGAGGCAAGATAATGTGGGTCAGAGCTGCAGCAGATCAGGATGGGCATGAAAGAGAAGTAGACGAGATTCGGGGGATGTTTGTTACTGCAGCATAACCTCACCCATCCCAACTGATGCACATGAAAAATACTTGGCACAATGGTTCTCAGCTCTGGCTGCACGCCGTCATGATTGAGAGCATTCAAAAATCCTGATGCTCAAGGCCCCACCGCAGACCAATCAAATCAGAATTTCTGAGGGTGGGGTCCAGGCATCAGGGATGTTTAAAGCTCCCTACCCGATTTCAACATGCAGCCAAGGTTGAGAACCACTGGTCTGAAAGGATCTACAACACTTAGTGATATTCCTGGTTCGTATCTATTAAGTGCTTTCTCTGTGCCACTTTACAAATGAATCCATTTAATTCCCACAAAGACTTAGGGGTTGAGCATTATTATCTTCCCATTTTACAGATGAGAAAACGGAGGCCCCAAACGGTTGGGCAACTTGCTCAAGGCCCGGCAGCTGGTGGAGTGCGGGGATTTGAACCCACGTCGTGTGGCCCCAGACCAAAACTGCTTCTGAGGAGGGCTTGGAGGGGCGGGGGTTGAAGGAGGCATGCAGGGGACCTTGTGCTGCCTGTCACTCCATACACTTCTTTTCCTGTTTGCATTTTTCCCCGGGCGGCTGTCTGACCTCTATTATAAAAAATAAATAATTAACGACGTAAACCCTTCTTGACCCTTAAAGAAAAAGGGAAAAACATGTCGCTGGTGACGTCAGCTTCACACACACAACTGTGAAGAATCAAGCCCAGGAACGCAGCCATTAGGTGAAACACCTCATTAGGGCCCCCAAAGCCAAAGCTTAGCACTCTGGGTCCTGGCTGGAAGGCGGCGGGGTAGAGCGCTCAGTGAAAAATGAAGGGAAGATAAGGAAAACAAACGTTTCAGGGCCAAGCAGGGAATCGTTCTGTGACCCGGGAAAGGACTTTGGGGGGGCTTCCACGCATGACTCATCCCCGAACCATTTTACCTCTGCACAATTGCACATTCCTTCTTGGCAAGGCTGTGCACCTAACCACGGATGACCAGCCCGCAGCACGCTAGACAAGAAGGGAGAAGCTGCCATCCACACTCAGCTGCTAAAAGGATTTATGTAGAAAAACGTCAACTCCCAGGCCAGCACATAAAACAGGAAAAGTAATTATTGTATGCGGAAGGGTCTGTCTGTGAAAAGTATTTTGTATGGTTAGACGAAGGCAAATACTCAGTATCGATAAAGCTGGAATTGTGTCTTATCGATACTGGCAGGATGTGGAGAGAAAATCTGCATGTGTGCGATGGGGGCTGGGGCGAGAAAAGAGGGCTCAATTCTCATCTTCTAGCTTGGGAGGCCAGGGAGCATGCCTAAAACAGGAAAAAAAAAAAAATTAAGGAGTGGTACCATAAGCAGGCTACTCAGAAATTTGGAGGTAAATACCAAAAGAATCAGCAAGAGTGGAAAGTTGTGGCCTCTGGGCAGAAAGAAATGGTGTGGTGGGGTCCACTGAGGACTGCTGCTTCTCATGACACTTTTCTTTGTAGAACTATATGAGTTTTCAACTATATGCGTGTATTTCCTGGATTAAAAAAAAAAAACTAAATAAAAGGGAACGTGGGGCACCTGGGTGGCTCAGTCGGTTGAGCGTCCGACTCTCGGTCTCAGTTCAGGTCAGGATCTCGGTGTTCGGTTTGTGAGTTGGGGTTCCTCGCAGAGCCTGCTTGGGATTCTTTCTCTCTCCTTCTCTCTCTGCCCCTCCCCTGCTCACATGCTCTCTCTCTCAAAATAAATAAATGAACTTAAAAAAAAAATAAAAGGGAACATACTTAGTAATTCCACTTGTCATTGTCTACTCTAGAGAAAGGCCATACCTATGAACAAGACAGAGTTTTTTGTAAATAGCAAAAGATTGAACAATTTAGCTGTCCGGCCAAAGGTTACTAGAAATGTAAGCTGCGGTATATTCATTTGGTGGAAAACTAAATTCAATGGAAAGAAATGAACCACATCTCTGCATATTAACATGGACACACCCCCCCCCATAATACTGAGTGAAAGCAACAGTTTTCTGAAAGTTATATACTGCATTAGTTATTAGCATTTACTAGAAACACATAAAATGCTACTGCATATTTTCCATAGGCACTTCTATATTTATAAATATCTGAAAGGATGTACCAGAATCCTAACAGTTAATTACTTCTGGAAGGCAGAGAGGAGGGGACAGGAATTAAAGGTAAGAATGAAAGTAAATTTTAACATGAGCTACAATATTCTAAAATGTTTTGAAAGAGAAAGGATTCACATACAGTGTAATTAAAAATTAAAACAAAATTAAAAAAAAAACTTTTTTAACCTTTATTTGTTTTTGTGAGACAAGAGAGAGACATATAGCGCCAGTGGGGGAGGGGCAGAGAGAGAGGGAGACACCGAATCCCGAACAGGCTCCAGGCTCTGAGCTGTCAGCACAGAGCCCGACGCGGGGCTCGAACCCATGAACCGCGAGATCCTGACTCGAGCCGAAGTAGGACGCTCAACCGACTGAGCCACCCAGGCGCCCCTAAAACACCCAAATGTTTCTGAGGAGAACCTTTAGGATACCAGCTATTCCTTGATAAGTCTCCTTGTTTCAGATTTTCCTAAAATCTGCTTGGATGCTGCCTGGAGATTGTTTTGAACTCCGCTGGTGGGACCTCTTTCCCATGAATTTGATAAAAACTAGGGGCTCAGGGGTAGAAAAGTCTGGAATAACCCAAGAGAAGCACAACTGTTAAGTAACACAGAATGTGACCCTGGGCCAGACCACTTTATCCAAGTAGAAAACGTTCTTCCAGGATTGCAAAGACTGAGAAACTAAAAAAAATTGGTGGAGACTCAGCATTAATGAGTGTGAAACACGTCCGGAGTGGCTGAATACGTCCCTCATACGCTCCACAAACATACCACCCTGGTCTGTTGGCTTCGGTCACTCTGTGCGGCTTGGAGGGGGATCCTCTGATCTAGCACGTCTCCTTGGCAAACAAGGCCTACAATATGGAAGCCTTTGTGCCATGTTCTTCAGCTCCTAACAGGCCACTGACCCATTCAAACCTGCTCTGGTCCCTCTGCCACCCTGGGAAGCAGTGAGGTTTAAATGAGCTAGCACATGGGGACACGCAGCCTGGTATACAGCAGGCACTCCATAAGCACTCGTCATTGTCAAAATCCCCCAATCGACTTCCTCGAACCCTTAAGCAAAGAACCTGTTTCTGTGAAGCCAGCAGAAACACCCTGAATCGGATGAC